TTACAATTTAGAACCCCAAGCACCTGACTGGTCAAAGAACCAGCACGAAAGTCAAGTTGAAGACGAGGAAGATAATGAAGAAGAGATTTATTGGGATTCTAAGATGTCAAAGTACCGAATTAAAGAAAATATAAATAAAACGTTTATTTATGCTAGTTGCCAGCGGCGGCGGCGGCTCGAAAATTTTAAAATTTTGAATACCATCGGCGACGCGGCGGCTGCAATTAAAGTGTCTCAGCGGCGACGGCTTAAAAATTTCCAAAATTGCTACTGTCACGGCGGCGGCGGCTTAAAATTTTTTGAGTCTGTCGGCGGCGACGGCGGCTCAGCCGCACGGCTTACACCTCTAAATATAAATGTTTTATGAAATTGAATAATTGTCGATGAATTCTTACGTTGTTTAGCCCATTCTGGACATTGTTCAAGACATTTTGTTGCTATCTCATCAGCTAAGGTAAGAGGATTAACTTCAATTATTTGTCGATCATCAAACATTTTTCGTATAGAATCACCTAAATGTATACGTAGATTATTCCAATCTTTATCATAGTCGATTTTAGTTTTATGTCCCATATCAAATAAACAATTATCAAATGTTGCTTGACTTCCTTTTTTTGTTTCATCTATAGGTTTAATAGAATATTTTTGAATATCTACATAATTTGAATATTGAATTACATTATTCCAATATTCACTGTAATCAATTTCTATTAATTTTTCGTTCATTAACTGATATTCACTACGTTCTACTTTTTTTGTAATTAGTTTTGGATCAATAAATTTAAGTAATGAACCAGGAATAGCATTAAAAATTTCTACAGTTTTTTGGTGAACTTCTTGAGGTAATAAACATAATAGTTCATCGAGTTTACATGACGCTAAAGCCATATTAATTGATAATATATATTTTTCTTATTGTAATTTTAATGATGAAAATTAAGATGTTGATTTTCTTTGATACTTAATATGGTACTTGAAAAGAAATTGACGAATATAAATCAAATTAATTTTACTTCCAGTGACAGATGAATTTATATATTGTTTTGTATTTATATGAAAGGATAAAACTAGTGATAGAAGAAGGTCATAAAAAAGCGTCTATGATGCTAATATTTGGATTTTTCCTTTTTTCTTCAACAGAGATAATCTATTAAAAAAAATTAAAGAGAGGCATCATGACTAATGTTGGTATTTTCTAACATGTTTATCTAGCATAAGAACCAATTTTTGGTAGGAAACAGACATATGTCAGTATTGTTTCCTTTTGATATGTATAAGATGAATCATGCGTATCTTAAAGGAAGGAAAAAAAACATCAAAGGATTGCTTGCATATTTCTTTTGTTTTTCTGCATGATCAAAAATAGACGATACAGAAACAAGACAAACATTGAAAAAATCCCAATTTTTATTTTATCTTTTTTTTGGTACGAAAGATTGTTTCTTGTATCGATGCAAGACATGAGAAAATTCCAACTATAGACTTGCTATTTTTGTTTATAAATTTCTTTTTCGTATGAATTATCCAGGTCGAAGAAAAAGGGAAATTTCCAAATATTTGTATTGTATTTTCCTTTGTACAACACTCATTTATCATTAATTTCATCCTGTCGTTGAAATACTAAACAGTATATAAATTCATCCGCCACCAGAACTAAAATTATTTTGACTATAATACTAAATTCATTTTCAAGGACTATATTAACTATTAAATACAACAACCATTTTTATTTTTACGATTAAAACTACAATAAGAAAAAAAATATATTATCAATTGATATGGCTTTAACTACACATACTGGTACGCAACTTATACCTTTATTAGATGAAAAGGCTCGAGCTAAGGCAATAGAAATTTATGAAAGTATTCCCGGTACGTTTCTTAAATATTTAGAACAAAAAGAAATCGTCAAAAAAGTTAATTTTCGTCGTGATTTTACTGCCAATCAGATATGTATGGGAACTGAACACAATATCGATTTTAATGATTTTATTAAATGTTTACGAGATTCAATTAAAGTAGGTTTTACATCATCGAACGTAACGGAAGTATATCCAGAAAATCTCGGTGATGATATTACAAAAGAATTTCGTAAACAAGCAACAACTCGGGCTAAACGAGGCAATAAATTATCAACAATTATTCGTTTTAATACAGAATATGAAAAAAAAGGTGCTCCGTATTGGACACGGGTTAATGCATATGTTTATATAAATATAATTGAAGAATGTGAAGACAATTGGTTTGCAGCAAATAAATATAAATTTAGTTACGATTTAACAATTGAATTGAATGGAATATCAATTAATTCGAATAAAGCAATCAAGTTAAATGAATTAATTGCCAAAAATAATGTTGCTAATTCGATTAAAGAAATTAAATCTAGATGCCCATAAACATGGGACGATTTATAGAAGAAAAAAAAAGTCGATTCGAGTTCTTTAGACTACATCTATTTACATATTTAACCTAGATTTAATGTTTTTCTGTGCTATGTCAATAAAATAAAATGTCTAGTATAAATGTATTCAGTAGTTTTGTTCAACATAAAGAAATGATCACGTTCTTTTTTTCTTCAGCTTTTAACTGATTGAAATGCAGTAATCTTCGATTTATGGAGAGGGATACAAAGATTAGAAACAAATTTGAAATAGAAAAATCTTATAAAAGAATACCGACCAATACGAAAAATGTTGTACATTGAAAGATAATCTTAACTCGATGAAAGTACATCATATATGTGATTTATTTGATTCCGTTAGCTCTTTATACTACTATACTGTGTAGAATATTATATTTATTCATTTCTATCTCTAATATTTCTCTTTCATTTTAAATGAGTTCAGATGGATCCGTTACTCGTAAAACTTTTACAGAAAAATGCATACTGGGAAACAACTTTTTGAATGAGTAAGCAAGATAACAAGGAAAAATCCAAGCATTAGATTATCGTTTTGGGTGTGGGTGTGAGTGTAGTTAGAAAGAAGACCCATACCTACCCCCTCACCCACACTCAAATGCACCCACACCCTCGTTGAATTTGAGATTCTGTAACAGGTCCTAAACTAAAATTAGCTCATCCATTTAGTTATTTACCATTTGCGGCTGGATGACGTAACTGTATTGGGCAAAATTTTGCTCTACTTGAAGCGAAAATTATATTAGCTACGCTTGTACAACGATGTAATTTTGAATTAGAACCTGGTCAAAAAATTGTACCTGAGGTTCGTATTACAATGCGATCTAAGTATGGGTTACGAGCAAGAATTACTAAACGCTCTTGAATCTTTTTTTTTCATGTTTGTTTATGTTTTACATAAAACTAATCATCACTTAATTGATGTAGGTATATGTAGCACAATACAGATCAATTTTGTTAAATAAAGATATGAAGATTGAAAAGTGTCTATCTTTGTATTATGAAATCATGTAATCTATATAAACTTTTGATTTTATCTGAAATAGTATTTTACTCGATGATACTATTCTACATGAGTACAAGACTTCGATCATAATCAATGGAAGAAATAAGAAGTTCAAAGTGGATGAAACATTTAACATGGAGAAGTTATCTCCAACGTGTAGTTTTGATTGATTATAAAGAACTGTATATTACTTGAAATAATACGTCGACTATTACTCAATAAAATGATCGTCGTTGTGATATTTACAACTATATAAATACTATGAAAAAACAAACAGAATATTCGTATTATTAGAGTGAATTAGATCTTTACTATAATTTCCAAAATAAAATGTTAATGATTCTATTCGAAGATTATGAACCTAATGTCAGATGTTTGCATTTATTGAATTAGTGAAGATTAATAAACCTATACCTAAATTATAGACTATCTATGAATTGTAAATGGTTGCTAATTACTACTACATTCTAGAGTGTGAGTGTACACCCACACCCACACCCTCAAGAATATATTAGTTAAGCGTATCCTAAAAATCAACACTCATAATATAGAAATCGTAAAACTTAATATATTACGAATTCTATGAATAAAAACTATTGTCAATAGCTGTTAGCGTAATTCCTGTAGGATTAAAATGTGAAACACGATCTAGCTGCTTTTCCAAATTGCAGGAAAATTTAAATTTATCTATTTCGAAGCAGGGGTGGGTGTTGGTATTCACTTCAACCACCTACTCTTTCACACACCCACACCCATTCACACCCTTTTTGTTAATCACTTGAGTAGATGAAAGAATTTGGATGCTTTTTAATATTGTCAAACATCTACTGTATTAACATTTCGTATCAGTACTCTTCCATTGTTAGTTACTTTTTTGCGGGTGTGGGTGTGGGTGAGTGTGGATGAATGAAATATTTTGACCCAC